ACATGGGAATATTTGTTAAATCAGTCAGTATATAGGATGAGAGTCACACAACTTGCGTGATTTACAAAAGAGAATGGTTAATTGTGTGATTTATTGTGTGACTGGACAGCAGTACTATAGACTAGGGACCCTACACAGATTTGTTAACTAAGGCCATGGTTATCAGGTCATGAATATGTATGAGAGATGTTTGTTCCAATGCTTTCAATATAAGATCATGAATATTTATGAGATCACAGACTGTCCATTACATTGTGAACAATTTGTTTCCCATCACAAGTTCTGGTCAACCTTAACGGTACGAGTACAATTTCTGTGTAACTTAAAACTTTAAATATCTTGTAAAAAAAATTTTTTTTTTATATACTAAAAAATTGTCCAATATTACATCTTATCTGTATCAAAATTAAGAAACAAAATAGAAATACGGTGTATTTTATGCTGCTGCAGTCAAATATAACTTAGTTAGTCACATAATCATTTTTTTTATAATTAAAAAAATACAAATAGTGTAATGCCAAATAGATAATTAAAAAAAAACTAATTTGCAAAACATCAATCACCATGAATTGAAAACTGAGAAATATGCATTGATTAGAGAATTGTATCTGAGCAGTTGTTTATACGTGTACCACAAATCTGTTTAGTTTAAGCCCTTGGCTTATTATAATTAATGTCACAACTGAATTTCGATGCTAGAACCCCATATCATTTTCCCGATATTCATTTGATTAGATGTGCAGTATTTTGCATTTTCAAGATCCTGTCAACAGATATGAAAATGTATCAAAGCCTGTAGATGAAAGAATCTTTCCACTGTAAGAGCTGGCCATTGACTCACCAACTCCCACACACTGTATGTTTTAACGTCTATGTGACCCAGTCAGGCTGGCTAGATCAGTCGACTACTGTATATCTCAGTATAATGTAGTCTGTAACTTAAGCTTCTTTAAGCCACAGTGATGCAATGTTAACAAAAGCTATTATATTCAAATTACTGTGCAAAATTTTTGATATAGAAATTAGTCTCTATGCATATTTATAAAGAAAAAAAAAAAAAAACTCTCCTGAGGCTAAAGTCTTCCATATCTGTAAATACTTACCGATCTATGACAGTGGATAGCTGAGTTTTCTGTACCTAAGAACAACATAATCATCAGTACTGAGTTAGGACGGAATCATTCGAATCCTGTACTCAGTTCATCATTTTGGAGTATAGTGGGTCCGTATGGTAATGATGTTGTCCATTTAACCTAAAAAGTGAAATAACAAAGTGCTGCATACATGTACTGGCGATACATCATCTCATGAATGATTATTCATGCAAAACATAAATTTCAGTAATGTAACACTGCAAATGAATGCCATATATTGTGTAGAGTTAAACTTTTAATAATCAGAATTGTAACACTTGATCTTAACGCCTCAAAAGCTACTCCCAGCAACCTCTTTTTTGAGATAGTGTTATATAAAACTTGGCTAACTTGGTTAATCTTGACTCAATAGGTTGTGCTGTAACCAATTTTTCTATTCATTATGAGCATGACCCTTGACCTTTGAACCTGAAAGGCTATTCCAAGCAGGCAGTAAGCACCGTGAGAAGGCAGTTGTTTCAAGTTTTTAAAGAGAGTTTGCTCAACATGACTCAAATAGTTAGGAAGAAGCTAATTTTCTTATAAAAAATTATCTGATTTTGAGAAGACTACATCCAATATATATATGTGTACAATTAATTTGCAGATGTACTAACCATCAGAACAAATTGTTAACTCCATGAAAGATGACTTTTCCTTCCTAGTTTGTACTAGGCTCTTTTAGCAGGTAGTTGATAATGTAGATATTGCACCTCTCCTTGGAAGATAGATGACATGATGTATATGACATTTCCCTTGTCAACAAGGGCATGTTACTTTTCCTGTGAAGGTAAATAACGCATCTGATTTCTCCTGTGAGGGCTTGTTACTTTTCCTGTGAAGGTAGACAAAACGTCTTTCTTTCCTGTTAGGGTTGATAAGGCACCTTCTTTCCCTGTGAGGGTAGATAAAGCATTTAACTTTTCCTTTGAGGGTAGATAAAACTTCTTACTTTTCCTGTGAGGGTAGATAAAGCATCTTACTTTTCCTGTGAGGGGAGATAAAGCATCTTACTTTTCCTATGAGGGGAGATAAAGCATCTTACTTTTCCTATGAGGGTAGATAAAACATCTTACTTTTCCTATGAGGGCAGATAATGTATCTTACTTTTCCTGTGAGGGCAGATAAAACATCTTACTTTTCCTGTGAGGGGAGATAAAGCATCTTACTTTTCCTATGAGGGTAGATAAAGCATCTTACTTTTCCTATGAGGGCAGATAAAGCATCTTACTTTTCCTATGAGGGTAGATAAAACATCTTACTTTTCCTGTGAGTGCAGATAAAGCATCTTACTTTTCCTATGAGGGGAGATAAAGCATCTTACTTTTCCTGTGAGGGCAGATAAAGCATCTTACTTTTCCTATGAGGGGAGATAAAGCATCTTACTTTTCCTGTGAGGGTAGATAAAACATCTTACTTTTCCTATGAGGGCAGATAATGTATCTTACTTTTCCTGTGAGGGCAGATAAAACATCTTACTTTTCCTGTGAGGGCAGATAAAGCATCTTGCTTTTCCTGTGAGGGTTGACAAAGCATCTTACTTTTCCTGTGAGGGTTGATAAAGCATCTTGCTTTTCCTGTGAGGGTTGACAAAGCATCTTACTTTTCCTGTGAGGGTAGATAAAGCATCTTACTTTTCCTGTGAGGGTTGATAAAGCATCTTACTTTTCCTGTGAGGGCAGATAAAGCATCTTACTTTTCTTGTGAGGGTTGATAAAGCATCTTGCTTTTCCTGTGAGGGTTGACAAAGCATCTTACTTTTCCTGTGAGGGTAGATAAAGCATCTTACTTTTCCTATGAGGGTAGATAAAGCATCTTATTTTTGCTGCGAGTTTTTTCATATTGTAACTTTTACCTGAAAGCATGGAGAACAGTCATCTTATGGTTTAACATTCTGATGTGGCACTCCATCCAGAATCAATGTCTCTTTTGCTGTTTTCTCACTGAAAACGTTTACAGAGGATGTGTCAAGTACTATTAATATTTTACAGGCGGCGTTCCGTTTCCAGTATGAGTTTTCTTTACAGTGAGTTTATACTTTGAATTTATCACTACATAAACAGTCATGATCATTTAGAAGCTGGTGGCCACTGCACTGAACAACACATGGGAGGCCCGTTGCATGCCATCCAAAGCAACTAGGGTAAAATATCTTGTACAAAGACACAGCCATGCCAGCACAGACTGGCCCATTTCTGTGCTTTCCAAGAAACACAAACTGCCATCAGTCTGGATGTCAAAACTGGTAGTTTATACATTCATCTGGCTCACTTTACACACTAGTTGTATAAACATTGTAATGTTTTTCAACAAGATTCCTCAACACAGGAAATACATAACTCAAAACAAAACTGAGTGGGGACCTATTATCTTGATGTATCTTGATTTTTTCCATTGCAATAATGCAATAAACAGGTACTTGTTTCTGATCTACTGAATCAATATTTATACCGAGATGTAAGTTTAAAAATACTTCCTGGCAAAATTTAAAGTTTACCTTAAAACTGTAACAATTGGTGGAGGCTACATACAGCACTTGATATAAAGAGTTCTTCCTTAACTTGTTTTTGATTGCAAGCTATCACAGTTACTTATTGAGAAGTAGAAGACATTAACATCTTACAACCATGAGTAAATTAAATGACCATTATCACCACAAATATCACATAAAACACATTAATCGTCCATTACTTTTGTAAAACTTTATAGATATTTTGCCTCCGTCAGCTTAGCCCAAAATGTCTTATATATTGCAGAAAATTTTTATTTAACTGAAAAACCTTAAAACCAACATGGTATGAGTATATTCCATTGTCTTTTTGGGTCAGATCACCTAAATATAAAAAATGATTCTTTTCTCCTTTGCAATGATAGCCATTTTGCTGACATTAAAGAAAAAAAAATATGATAATGGTACACTTTTCCTAGAACGATAACTTGATATCACAGCATTTTAAAAATGTTTTACCAGTTTACCAAATCAGTCTCAAAATGAGTATTTCTAGGATTAAAATCACATGTACTCCTAAAAATCTCCATTAGAAACTATGAATTTACAAGAGATCCCAGAGGGATCTTGGCGCCCACCATTTGAGGATCTGTTTTCAGTTCTTGAAGATTAGTTTATTTTTTTTTTGTTACAGGTGTTGTAAATGTTCATGAACTAGTCTTCATTGAATGTATTCAATGATGGCACAAGATATTTTTATTAAGCACCTATTAGCAAATACCATTTGAAAAAGATCCCAAAGTATTATTAGATATCAGTCAGCTACAGGTGGATAATGGACATGGTCTTGAATCAATATGATACAATATCGAAGAAAATATGCTTGTGCTGTATTACTGTTGACATCCAAGAAGGCTGCCTGTGGGCCACCTTGATTTCAAATCAGTCAAAAAAAAAAGGTACAATGCACAACTAGGGACCAAGGGGAAGCTCCCTATGAAATCTGACAAAGATCCATCCAGTACTTTTCCAGAAATAGCAGTAACAAACGTTTACTTTCAAACTCCAAGATGGCTGCCTGTCGGCCATCTTGAATTTGAATCTGTCCAAAAAAGGTACAAAGCACAACTAGGGACAAAGGGGATCCTGTATATGAAATTTGAGAAAGATCCATCTAGAACTTTTCCATAAATAGCGGTAACAAGAATTGTTTACCGCAGGACGGATGGACGGACGGACCACGGATGCAGGGCGATTTGAATACCCCACCATCTGATGATGGTGGGCTAAAAAGCAAAAAAAGGAAATAAAAAAAAATCATGATAATAGGTTCCCAACCAGTGTTCGCATTTCCTGAATGTATATATGTATATATATATTTGTTTTAATGTAAATAATAAATACGACAGATACAAATATAAAATACATGATATTTCCTTTTTATTGTCCTTATGAACCTTCCAGAAATCACTTAAACAATGACGAGTAAGACTACATGACTAATAACAGAACACTAAGATGAGTACTACAGGATCCTACAGGTGTCTGGATGTTTAAAAACATGCTACCACATAACCATCCAAAACAAAACATTTAAAAATCGACACAAAAAATGAATACTTGATGCAAGTGTTTTAAGAACATAAAATGTTTATGAGACCGGAGAATATAAGTAATGAAATATTTACATTTGAATGACCTTCCCAACTTGTTTACATCTAGATTTCAAACCTTGTTATGTAAACATTTCTTTTTTTTTCCTTCAACTGTCTTTTCAGGGTTTTCTTGAGTTTGTATTTTTCCCTTTGTTTTTTTTCTTTTTCTCTCTCTTTGTTACATACCTGCCTACAAGACTACAGTGATATATTTTTGGCCGGTTACTAGAAATATCAGTAGTCTTTACGACAGTTACATAACAACACAATCTAGGTTGTACAAGTTGGGGGTGTAATATAAACATGATCCTCCAATCAAATCAGGTCGTGATTGTTTTATACATGTTATAAATGACCACATCCATCCTTACATACACAGTTATAATACTACCATTCATACATCTCTCAGACCTTCCAAAAATGGCGTATTGATGTCCTTATTTACCAGGTTGTTTACAGTCATGTAAACAAATAGATCAACTTTGTTTACATCTTGGACACCAGCTTCACAGGAATAAACTATTTGCTACCATTGATTACTAAACCCAGATTTGACCGACAGCTTGAACCGTAGTGAAAAATTAAACAAAATACATCCAAGCAAAAAGACCTGAAAGTTTTGTATCCAATACTTGCACGCTCATTAGCAAATGAGGGGAGAGAACTCAACCATTTCACCAAGGTCATACTAACAATTTTTTTGAAAATCAACAGAATCTAAAATTAAATCTACACTTGATTCATATTGCCACTGATTCTTGCCACTATAAAATAAAAAGTTTTCCAAGGAGAAGATAATCATTTTCTTCAGTCTCAATAATTTCTAATTAAATCATTACTTGTCAAATTAAAACCGAAGGATACTGGAAAATTACCAGGCAGATCATGCCAGCATGCTCAAGAAACCAATCCACTTAGCTTCATAAATAACTGCCAATGGCTACAATGTAAACATCAAGCAGATTTCAGGGAGACTTTTTGTAAAAATATCATATCTGTTAAAATGTTTTTAGAAAAAAACATTTGATTCTTCTATAAAAGGATTTACACAATATTAGGTAAAACTTAGCCTAAAATAAGTCAATGACACAATCATAAAAATCAGTTGAAAAATGCCCATAGCGGTATTTATATCTATATGGATCATTAAAGCTGCAGTAAATTCTACCCATACATCAGAGAGACGCTCAGATAACCAAGCGAAACAAGAAATTAAATAGGGGGGACAAAAAATGTTAAGATATACATAAATTAGGTTTATTGTCTGAATTTGGTAAATTATCAAACATTCAACACACACGTAATGGCTGAAAATTTCCTTCATTTCCATTTATTAAATAACTTGGTTTCAATATTAAAATAATTTTGGCATTCTGGATGTGAAGGATCAATCAAGCTTTCATATCAAATCATTGTTTTTTTTTTACATTTTTTTTTGGGGGGGGAGGGTTGTTTTTTTCTTTTTGTACTCGTTAAATTTTCCCTTACTTAACAATAGCTAAAATATAATAATAATAGGAATATACATGTGCCATTATGTTAACACTGTGAAATATACAGGAAATCCAGGGACCTGAATATCTCTTCTGGTCTTTATTTGTACAAATATGTGTAAACTAATATGTCAAGTATGGTAACATGTTATTCAAATCAGCAAAATAAGGACAACCCCAGAATGATTAGATTTTTTAATGGAAGCGTTTTCCTTTCCCTATTTTCATAGATGTTTTTATTTCCCCAATAAAATCTCTATCTTCTATAACCTTAAAAAACTGAATGAATGAAGTATGTTTATACCAAACTAGGTAAGCTTTTTGAAAACAAACATTGAATTCCTTAACTTGTTATGAGGAATAAGACATTCAAATTTCACCTGTATAAAAGCATATAAAGTATTTTGTCCCAAAGGGGTGCTGCACTTCATTTGAAGAAAATGAAGTTAGTTTCCTTGGGCTAGGGATTTGTAACCCAACGCTTGTTAAAATCAATCCAGTCATTCTGGATAAGTGGTTTTTCATTGAAATTTGACAGACTAACAAAAGACAACATGGCACATAAGCTCACTAAAACCATTTAGCCAATATGCTGCAGTAACATTGAAAACACAGAAAATTTCCACTTTGCGAAATAACGGTTTAGACAGTTTGATCACATCTCATTATTTACTGGTCCAATGCTGTGAGTCCCATTTGTTCATTCACTTAATGTAATCACAAGCTGACACAAACTCCAACCCCATATAGCTTTATCCAAGTCAAGTAAGAAACGGACATGTCAATCTTGTTTTCCTGCCGAGCAAGCTGTGGATTTGTGGTAAGAATTTATGTGATGATTGCAATGCAGTCCCGTCTCACGCACTCGCTGCCCGATACACCGCGGCAATGTCACTGTCTCCGTATCCCAGCCTTCTTGCCTTCTTGTACAACTGAAATAAATATAGCAAAGTCAACAAAATATCATACAAAATATTGATGTTGAAAACAAATTGATAGCAACACTTTAAACTTGTAAACACCCAGAGTAATTTAAGATCTAAGACAACAAAGCAACACCATAAATAACATAACACCACCTTAATATACATAGCAACACCGTGACTAACATGCAACATCTAAAGAAACAGTAACCCCTGAAGAAATATAGCAACACCTAAAGTAACATAGCAACACCAGAAGTAACATAGCAACCCCTGAAGTAATATAGCAACACCAGAAGTAATATAGCAACACCTAAAGTAGCATACAACCCCTGAAGTAATATAGCAACACCAGAAGTAACATAGCAACACCAGAAGTAACATAGCAACCCCTGAAGAAATATAGCAACACCTAAAGTAGCATACAACCCCTGAAGTAACATAGCAACACCAGAAGTAACATAGCAACATCTAAAGTAACATAGCAACTCCTGAAGTAATATAGCAACACCAGAAGTAACATAGCAACACCAGAAGTAACATAGCAACCCCTGAAGTAATATAGCAACACCAGAAGTAATATAGCAACATCTAAAGTAGCATACAACCCCTGAAGTAATATAGCAACACCAGAAGTAACAAAGCAACATCTGAAGTAACAAAGCAACATCTGAAGTAACATAGCAACATCTGAAGTAATATAGCAACACCAGAAGTAATATAGCAACATCTGAAGTAACATAGCAACCCCTGAAGTAACATAGCAACACCAGAAGTAATATAGCAACATCTAAAGTAGCATACAACCCCTGAAGTAATATAGCAACACCTGAAGTAACAAAGCAACATCTGAAGTAAAAAAGCAACATCTGAAGTAACATAGCAACACCAGAAGTAATATAGCAACATCTACAGTAACCTAAGAAACACCTGAAGCAAAACATAAAATTTTACAGCTACATCAAAAGTAAAATGACATTATTATCTTCATACCTCATTTGCCGCTGCAGCTACATACAGTGGCTGTTCTACTTTGTCTCCTAGCATCAAGGCAAGACGAAGGTCCTTCTGTTGGTGCATGAGAGGGAAGTGCGGATCATACTTCTGGTTCAGTATTGCTGTAAAAGTCAAAGTTCAAAGGTTAGCACAAGCATTTATTGAAATAATGTCCTGACATGAACCATCAAGGTTTTATGCTTAGGCATTACATATAAGTATATATAGAAGTTTTGCATTTCTCAAGTGCTGTCAGAATGTATTGTCATAGAAAAAAAAAATTATTTATTTTATTCAATGGATCTCTTCTTAATTTTCTTGTTGCTACATATACAAGGGAGTTAATTTTCCTAACAACTGGTCTCCCTCATTTTGAATAAAAAAGAGAGATTGGATTTATACTGGTATTTTAAAATTATGTCTGTCACCTTCAGTTGGTTCAATACCAAAAACATTACAGGATTATGGCATATCTGGAGACGCCGTAAGCCTTTTAAGATAAATAGAAGTTTTGACAAACAGAGATCCAAATAATTCCATGTTAGACTATTTTTGACAGATTACAGGTCTTTTTCAAACAGTTACATCCTTTGATATACAAGTTCATAAAAAAGCTTTAAATTTGTGAATCAAGTATACATTGGCACAAGCCAGAACTACAGAGTTACGTACCCTGACTTTTGTGAATGATTGTTGGACAAGAGAGAGCACCTATGGAGAAGACCTCTGCCACATCTTCCTGGTCCAAACCAACCTTCTCAGCCATTGCCATGCCCTCTGATAAACCGGCCACAACTGATCCCATCACCATGTTGATAATAAGCTTCATCCTCGTTGCCTGGCCAACGTCTGCTCCTGGAGGAATTAAAAGGAATCACATGATAAAACCATGTTTAAAAACAATGCTAAGGCAGCAGTTTTTATTGTATGATTGAATTACTTATGCCATAAATCTTGAGAACCAAGAGAAAATTTCAGACTCAAAAACTGGAACTGAGCTATAACAAGACAATGATACAGCACCTTTAGCCATGATTTACAATGAACACCACTGGGTGTAAAACCAAGCCTGGGTTTTAAAAAAAAATCCTAGGTTTATCATAAAGTATACAACTGCTACATAGCAACAGAATAAAATATCATTCACAATTCAATATCATCATATGTATCATGTTTCCAAAGAATTCGTAGGAAGGTTAGGTAATGTTACTCAAACAAACTTTCACCTATATATATAGCCACTCTGTTGCCAGGATATTTGTATATTAACTTTGTCATAATTTCTTTATATAATATCACTTTTCACTATTACTTGATGTACAGGCAGGCAACTACTGCACAGATAAACAGAGGTCAGGTCAAAGGTAATGTAATATCATGTTTTACTGCACAATCACAGGTGAACACAAACCTATCCATAATTAATATGATTGTGACAAACCACTATTCAATGTCATTAGCATCATCAAGAAATGCTCAACCAATAACTTCTTTCCTTCTTCTAGACACTAACCTAAATATAAAGACTTCTTTCCAATTGCTTCAAAACATGAGAAACAGTCATCATATAATTTGCGTTCTCCAGCTGCTAAGATAATGAGCTGTCCCTCCAGGGCGGGAACTCTGCTGCCCACGACTGGCGACTCGAGGAATACACCTCCCCGAGCCATAATGGCCTCCCCTACATCCTGCATTGTCTCCTCATCAATCGTGGACATCTCCACAAAACATTTTCCTTTAGTGATACCTTGAAGCACTCCAGAGTTTCCAAACACAAGCTGTAATACAAGGTACACTTTATAACAAAGGAACACAGCATGTCTTCAGCAGAACGGGGCAGGTCCTGCATTCTCCATGACAAAATATTTGATATATGTCAAGGAAACAGTATTACTGAACAGGATGGAGCAAAATATAGTAAATATTTCAAATTATCAATAATGACATCATCAAAAATTGAATAACTCAATTCTTACTCTACTCTACCTTGTAGCAACACAAAATGTCAAAAGGGAGATAACCCAAAGTGAAATGATACCATCAGCACCTTGTAAGGGATGCAACTCCAATCCTCTCGAAGAAAAATTTATTTTAATTAGAAATGTTGGAAACATGTTCCTTAACCCATTGCTATGTTTTAATAGTAAAATTTAGCCATAGTCCAACAATAAGTCACAATTAAAAAAAAAAAAAATAAGACACACAAAACTTAATCTTCCAATCTTCCTGTACAGCACTGCTGATTTCCATAAAAACCTTTTTGTACAAAATATCAGCGTCCTATTATTATCAATGAGTTGGATGTGTTTCACTGTTTGACAGTCTCTGGTTCAAAAGACGTGAAAATTTAAGAAAGATTGTCATTCAAGTTTCCATTTCCACTGCACAGCATCAACGTTTATTTAAAAAATAATCTCCCCAGAAATCAACATTACATTGTTATTAAGTGCATGCAGATTCTGGAAAAATTGTCAACCATGACAGACGAACGAACAGATTAAAGAACGTCAATTCTTGCTACTCTGAACATTTTGTGGCAGAGGCATAAAAAGAATGAAGAAGATAGAAACCATTTCAAAGATAACGTTTGTAAAAGCACCATTGATAGACATCTTATTCCATAAAAGGTTGCCATATACAGCAGAAGCTCTACTTCACAATGATCTGTCCAGACATTTTGATAAATCTAACATTTTTCCTTCACTTTCCCGATTGTCATTCTTATCTCCATATCCTACTCACGTCTTTAACTGCTGTTGAGTCAGCCACACAGGAGAAGGTGATATCACAGCGTTGGATAACTTCAGCAGGGTTGTTTCCCTTTAATGCTCCAGCTTTTACAAATTCTCGGCACTGCAATTACACAAATATACAATACCATCAATATAGTATAGAAAGAATAGGCTGACCATCAATGATAAGGGGCTGAAAGTTAAGGACCTAATGGATCATTGTTTTAAACCTTCCTTGGGAATCATTTTAATGAGGACAAGCAATCCTTTCTCACTTTCTTGGAAAAGATTTTTCATAACAAAACAGGTACCTGTGACATTGGAACTGAATATTTCAAGTCAGTAGAGTTTTATCCTTGTAATAAGCCAACTAATAAAACATTACAGCGAAACTTCACCTACAAAATACTATCAAATTAACACCACTTTTGTCGATTTCCAAAGATGGTCATAATAGTGAGGTTTCACTGTGCCACGAAATGCCTTACTACCCCAATTCGAAATCCATTTACATTTATTTGTTTGTTTTTGGAGGGTTTTTGTTTTGTTTTTGTTTTACAAATTTTGTTTGTATGACTTTTCAAATTACTCAAGGATATACATTGGAATGACATTATAATTCTTTTATTCCAGTAATTTATTACAACTCTTTGATTCAGGGTTCATATGAAGAAGTTACTATGAGGAGAAGATGATGATAGAAGACAAGCACTGTACTATCGTAATACATCTCCTCATACCAAGTGAGCTCATCATTCTCAGCTCCAACATGTTAACATTGTTAGGGGTCAGTATTATACCAGACATGAAAATGGCTTATCAACCGACAATAGCTTAAAATAAATATGTATCCTTATGATGCTTGTAACCTCAGTTTGGCTGAATTTTAAGCACACCTCTCAAATAATTTACACAATAACATTAAACAAACATTGTCTTCCAATTTCTAGGATGTTGATTTTGATTTCATCATTTGCTAGGAAAAACTGAAATGAACATCCAGTTGACAAGGAAGAACTGAAATGAACATCCAGTTGACAAGGAAGAACTGAAATGAACATCCAGTTGACAAGGAAGAACTGAAATGAACATCCAGTTGACAAGGAAGAACTGAAATGAACATCCAGTTGACAAGGAAGAACTGAAATGAACATCCAGTTGACAAAGCTGTAAAAGAAGCCATGTATTTACATGTTCTAAAATACTCAGCATGGTTCTGATCACTCTTCTGTGAAGATTAACTTACAGTAAAACATTACTCATGTGTCTGCGATTCAGCAGCCTCATTTACATATCTAACAGCCTCATTTACATTCTGATATAGCCTACAAACGCTATAGCTTGGTTTGAATTAACGTAAGTTTATTAATAGAAAATGACTGACTTCTGTGTGTCATGGAAGAGTATATGACTGAGGGGACTTTAAAATACTGAAAAATTAATCAACACAATGATACAAACTGTCACTAATTATGTAAAGATTTTTGACTTTTGTTGTAAAGTTTTGTAGATTTTATAAAAACAGTTGAGGATTTTGTTCTGTATAACATGTATAGTCTTATATTTATGCATACAAACTGTCATTATGTAATACTGAATTTTAAGTCTGGAAGCCTAACAATTTCATACAGAAACCATTCCCAGAGTCCAGATTTTTTTCCCCATTTTGGGGTGGGTCTTCTTGCCTTATTTTTGAGAAGAAAATTGGTGAATTGGGACAGAATTTTTTCTGGAGTAATTTGGTAATTTGGCTTAAATAATAAATAATTTTGATTGGGAATGGCCTTCATTATCCCGAAAAGACCTCCAAACCTGTCCTGACAGTATATTATGTCTGCAGGTACATCAGTCTCTAAATTTTGCTGCAGAAGTTCATTGATGATAGAACATTAAGAAATCATTCGACATATCAAGTATTTTTGGTAAATTGACTTCTAAATATTAAACATAGGCATTGTAGTGCAACGTCCTCTCAGTTATCTTCATAACTCTGGTGTAATATTTGGAAATATTTTATACATTGTAAACCTCCACATCACTTCATTTTGATACAGTCAAATGAACTACTGCCTAAGAGACATGGTAAGGTTTAGGTGTCAAGCCAATAAAAAACCCCTGGTTAGCAAACACTTTATTTGTATCGTTCAATTAAGCAACAAATCAGGAAGTACCATGTGAACTGTTTTACATACATGTTTAAAAAGACTCTTTGAAATCAATATTGTTTCTCAGTATACAGCCACAGCAGCCAGCTCTAGTTTACACCCCTACACACAATGGAACTGCTCAACATCCTTGCCTACCCTGCAGGTCACCAGAATAGACCAGCTCAAGGTCACCATCATGGAGGCTGATCAATACAGCCTGGTACAGGAAAAAGACAGGAAAGAAAACGAGCATCCTGAATGTGTAACATGGTGAGTACTAAAGGCCTTTATTTTGACTCTATTTAAAGGGACATTTCTATGTCTGCTCGCCATAGCGCATGACTGAGGCCAGGGGCAAAAAATGAATGTTGTCTTTGTTCTCCAACACCAGCATCTTGTTTAACGTGTGTAGGTTTTCTGCCCAACTGTAAACACACATTATACAAAGAGGAATACTATGTTTTATGCTACAATAATGAGGCAATCATCATGCTAATAGGAATAGAATTTACATGTCTACAATATGTATAATGGTTGTATATGCCAGATTCAAACATCTGCCCAACTCATCATAGAGTTACTGTGCTAGCGGTGGATAGAATTTTTCACACTAACACATGAAGATACTGTTACTTAGGGGCAATAGTATACTAACGCAACAGTTCACATTAGTGCACTCAAAATTCAATACATCTCATCCTAGGAAACTTTTTCTTTTTTTAACAGACAACTCAGTGTACCAAAATGCAGAGTCATCAATTCAGCATTGCTAACAATTTACTACTATAACAAAAAACCTTTGAACTAATTTTAAACTTTGCACAACTCGGCAAAATTAGAAATATGACCCATGATTATAACCACAAGCTGACAGGTAGTAACATCTCTTGTTAGACATCCATTTAACTTTAATCACTCTTGCAAATTACTTAAGCAACACCAAACCAAAGTGTGACATTTCTAACTGTAGTCAAATGTACATATGACTGTAGACTTTCCAAAATGTTAATAACCAATTTGACAGAACTCAATTTTTTCAACATCAATCATAGTATTTCTCCTATACTGAAATGTGTGGAAGTACATATAAGGCCTTCATTGACAGTTTTTTGGCTAGCATGAACAAATTTGAAAGAGAATACGTTTTGGATTATCTCTATCACTGATCTGACATGTTAACTGAATATTCTGAGATAGACTTTTTAGCTCTTGTCCTGGTCATCTTATTTGGCTGAATTTTTGGATGCACAAAATATGTAAGTAAAAGCATCTATCGGCATTTTCATTTCAAAGTAGATAATATCTGTACAACATAAATGTCCCTGCCAACATGGCCTTGACCTTTCCTGAAACACAAAAATGTCCAAAATCTGTTGAAATATGGAATTGCTAGTTGCTTACAATGTATTAGGACAGGACAGGACAGAACGGGGCGGGAGGGGACGGGACGGAATGGAAAGGGATTGGATAGAAGAGCCATGGGCTACACTATATGACCCTTCCCCAATGTAGTAAATAGGTTGTCTGTGGAATACTTGATTCAGAGACTCATTTACTGCTTCTTAATATTTACCGACTGTAATAAGATTTTCTGTACAGTTCTAGTAAGGGATCTCCCCTATACCTGTGTAAATTCAGTATCTAAATTATAATTCCATGAATATATAATTAGCAAATTAAATTCAGTTTAATATACTATCTAGAACACAAGTCACAGAAACGGCAGCCTTCTGCTGTAATGTAGGATAATTTAATTACTCAGCTGCTGTTCTGGAACAAATATACATATATCTTGCTGAAAACAGGACGACTAAAGCAGGTTAATGAATTTGGTATGTTACGCTTTAAAACAAAAATATGCAGCTGGAACTGATCTTGTAACTAGGTACCTGGTGGGGTCATAAATAAATGAAACCAGATAGTTATCAACAGTGTGATGGTTATGGAATCCAAACTGGGCAAAAACATAATGAAACATTGAATATTGATCTGATACACTGAGCAAATATTGTAGGAAGAAGGATAATGAATTGGTTGGGGTTACTAAACAGAGTGTGTTAGATCAGTTTAATAGAATAGATTAAAGTACAAAACACCTCAACAAACTATCAGGTAAGTGAGGACCACTGTCCCCAACACTACATCAAACTATCAGGTAAGTGAGGACCACTGTCCCCTACACTACATCAAACTATCAGGTAAGTGAGGACCACTGTCCCCAACACTACATCAAACTATCGGGTAAGTGAGGACCACTGTCCCCAACACTACATCAAACTATCGGGTAAGTGAGGACCACTGTCGCCAACACTACATCAAACTATCAGGTAAGTGAGGACCACTGTCCCCAACACTACATCAAACTATCAGGTAAGTGAGGACCACTGTCGCCAACACTACATCAAACTATCAGGTAAGTGACGACCACTGTCCCCAACACTACATCAAACTATCAGGTAAGTGAGGACCACTGTCCCCAACACTACATCAAACTATCAGGTAAGTGAGGACCACTGTCCCCAACACTACATCAAACTATCAGGTAAGTGAGGACCACTGTCCCCTACACTACATCAAACTATCAGGTAAGTGAGGACCACTGTCCCCAACACTACATCAAACTATCAGGTAAGTGAGGACCACTGTCCCCAACACTACATCAAACTATCAGGTAAGTGAGGACCACTGTCCCCAACACTACATCAAACTATCAGGTAAGTGAGGACCACTGTCGCCAACACTACATCAAACTATCAGGTAAGTGAGGACCACTGTCCCCAACACTACATCAAACTATCAGGTAAGTGAGGACCACTGTCCCCAACACTACATCAAACTATCAGGTAAGTGAGGACCACTGTCCCCAACACTACATCAAACTATCGGGTAAGTGAGGACCACTGTCCCCAACACTACATCAAACTATCGGGTAAGTGAGGACCACTGTCCCCAACACTACATCAAACTATCGGGTAAGTGAGGACCACTGTCGCCAACACTACATCAAACTATCGGGTAAGTGAGGACCACTGTCCCCAACACTACATCAAACTATCAGGTAAGTGAGGACCACTGTCCCCTACACTACATCAAACTATCAGGTAAGTGAGGACCACTGTCCCCAACACTACATCAAACTATCAGGTAAGTGAGGACCACTGTCCCCTACACTACATCAAACTATCAGGTAAGTGAGGACCACTGTCCCCAACACTACATCAAACTATGGAAGAGATATATCGAAGAATTCACCCTCAGGTAACCCAAAAATATAATGGTTTTCTGCCTGAATTTTACAACAGCCTGTGTTTATAAAGAATTAGGAAAAATTGGGAAGATGATCTCTCAGGGTGCATGTTTAGGAAATAGAACATATTTTGGCTTATGGAATCGACCTGTTTTCTGTAAGAAAAACTAAATAAAACAGAATCACTGTATACATTTCTATCAAATGTAGACAATAATTAGATACACAATTATCTCATTAATATATAACTGATAATCAGTGTCCAAATCAAGAGACATGACCTACATAGATGTGACCACATGTTATAAGTAAACTGGGCGCAACTGAAATGTAGTCTCAGTACACATTTGTTAAAATACCTATTCTATATTTTAAAGATAAAGAATGTTTCTATTGAAAGTCAGCCAGAAATCTTTATTGATAGTACTATGAAGACATTATCTGTACAAGTCACAAGCCACAAGTAAACTATTATGATATCTTATCAATCTGTTTCTAGAAGTCAATACAGTTAACAAGCATTTCCAGAAACCAAACTCCTTCATTTATGAGTATTAAATAATGTAAATATTTACAGGACTTGAATGACTTTTTAATAATCCTTTGATAAATCACTGATGTTACTCAGAAAGAGAACATTTTAATGCAGCAAGAAAAGGGTAGTAATTGGGTTGGCTTTTTCTGAGATAGAAATTAAGAGTCTGCTACAGGCATTGGACTAGACTACCAACAAGTAAAGGGTAGTAATTGGGTTGGCTTTTTCTGAGATAGAAATTAAGAGTCTGCTACAGGCATTGGACTAGACTACCAACAAGTAAAGGGTAGTAATTGGGTTGGCTTTTTCTGAGATAGAAATTAAGAGTCTGCTACAGGGATTGGACTAGACTACCAACAAGTAAAGGGTAGTAATTGGGTTGGCTTTTTCTGAGATAGAAATTAAGAGTCTGCTACAGGCATTGGACTAGACTACCAACAAGTAAAGGGTAGTAATTGGGTTGGCTTTTTCTGAGATAGAAATTAAGAGTCTGCTACAGGGATTGGACTAGACTACCAACAAGTAAAGGGTAGTAATTGGGTTGGCTTTTTCTGAGATAGAAATTAAGAGTCTGCTACAGGGCTTGGACTAGACTACCAAGAACAAAACAATGACCTTCCCATAGAATTTTTATTTTTGAGTTTCTGCTAACATGCATTTCCATAGCCAGTAATTTTGTCATCGCCTTGGAGACAGGCACCCTGAACAGACACCATTTTACTTCTGTAAATAACTCGAGCTGTGATATACAGACGTGAGACCATTAACACCTCAAGTGTATTGACGTCTAATAAGGTTTCTGTATAGGGATGACATCATGCACAAATCACTTCATGGTAAATCATTGTATTTAGAAATTGGATCAGTATTTTCAAAACTTATTGATAACATAATTAGAAAATAATCCGAACGCATTTAATCACCAGGACACACACAGAAAAACTGCCAACTACCTATGGAATTCCCTTCCTTCAAACACTGCCTCTTTTTCAAGACTCTGAACACCACATGTAACACTACTGCTTCGAGGTCTCACTTATTATCATTATTACTACAAGAAAATGGTAATAAGGATATATATATATAACTGTATTTTATTAGGGTCCTTTGACATTGATAAAGTGGTCGGGGTGAAACGTTTTGTGAAAATAAACATACATTATATATATATATAACTGTATTTTATTAGGGTCCTTTGACACTGATAAAGTGGTCGGGGTGAAACATTTTATGAAAATAAACATACATGGAAATGTGTACTAGGAAATGATTTTTGGGATATGATCCATGTATTCACCTGTTTCATATGAAAAAACGTTAGAGAGAAATCTATCCCACATCCGTGTTATAGCTATCACACCACACACAAAGAATGACTGATGTCTCAGCTAAGTACATCATCAGCAACAAGTTTTAATACGAATGATTTGATTGGAGATAAATTTGATCACATTTAGGCAGCTTAACTCGGTGAAAAGATCAATCATT